TTTGTAAGTGCATCATAATATACAGTCAATTCACTTTACAGTATATTCTGTGAAATGCTTTGAGACGCCTTGAAGACATGAAAAGCAAATGCAAGGATTATTATTATTATTATTATTATTATTATTATTAACCTGCAGGAATTCTGGTCCAACACAATGTATCTCTGGAATGAAGTTCCCGCAAGTTGACAGAAATTCTAATGGATTCCAAGAAACATTGCCAAGCTAAATACTTTTCGCAAAAGCCAAGCTAAAAATTTCAAAAAGACAACTGTAAAAATCATAAAAAACATTCTTTGCATTGTTGAATTCAGTCTTAACTTTGAAATCAGTTTGTAGAGTCCTGTAGCTTAGTGGTTAGAGTACTCACCTCACAAGCGAGAGGACTTGGGTTTGATTCCCAGCAGGGCGAAACACTGGGCAAGTTTCCTTACACCACGTCCGTTTACCTAGCAGTAAGTAGGAACCCGGTTATTAGACGATTGGTGGATTGCTTTTCCGGGGATGATAATCCCTTCCCCCTCCACCCCACCAAAAATATGCGAATAATAATTTGGTCACTCAATCCACGACTGTTTGTGGGACACTGCGTGCGCAATTGGCTCCCGAGTTTCGCCCGCAAAATATAGTGCACTCATTTCTTTTCTATTCATTACGCTATCTGTTTGCTGCATCAGTCATGTTTTGTACTCAGCACCTCAAAGTTGGATGCTACCAGTAATGTATTACTTGTGAAAAGATGCATATAATTATCAAATGAAGTGACAATTTTACATACAGCCTACACAGGAAGGTCATTTAAACAGCCATGAGGTCAACAACTAATTAATCTGGAGAATTTTTGGCCAGTCAATCCCTTCTCTTTTCATCTAAGGAATAGGCAATTAAGATTTTGGTGTAACGTTTCCGCCGAAGGACAACATTTCTCACAATGCAGCATTCTCCCAATACTGCACCAGTGTGTCAGACTAGACTATTAGAGATTAGGGACTATTAGAGATGTATTCCAAATTATATACAGCTTTGACATTAAAGACCAGATCAGTTTATTTGTAAAGGTCAGGATTCAAACTAACCCATCTGACTACTGTAGCCAGGTCACAATTTCCACTTAAACCCCAGCTAGCCGGACTAATGGGGGGTGGGGGGGGAAGAGATCCGGTCCGGCGAGCTGCAATTTCTGGCTAATTACGATGCCATTTACCATTAAATGCCAGTACCTGCATTGCTATTGTTTGAATCCCGTGAGCAGAAGATAACAAATAAGATGCACTTCCAGGATTGAATCTGAGTCAAAGTTGATATTTCTGGCCATTGTGAAGGCCAGCAAGAACGGTCAGGTGCTCAACATGGCTCACTCTTGGAGAGTCGGGGGTTGGGAGTCTTTCCGTGGGCCTGCGGAAATATTTGGTCTGTGGATTCTTAAAAAAAAAATTAGGGTTCGAGCCCAGTCTGGCTAGGGTCGAATTCCAGATACCCAGAGACCGGTAAGCCAACGGTTTACTGTAGTTCTGATTTACACACACTGCACTAGTAGGTTTCTGCCCTTGGAATCCACTACTGGGTTTTACACTCAGGAATGACTGATGGTAACATAGGCTGTGGACAGAATGCCCTGATCTCCAAGGCACCTATTTTTAAAGATAAGACTTCACTTAACAATCTTGGTTTTTCTTCAATAATTTAATTACTGTACCTTTATTCACATTTCTCCATGTAGTTGTGTAGTGCAGCTAAAAAATAGTTTTATCAATTAGATGTAATGCAATGAATTTGTCTTTAAAAATATACTTAGCACCTTTCACGTCAGGAGGACCACTTCACACATTTGACTGGTAGCCTGAGCTGGGTGGGGCAACGTGGGTGCAGGAAGACTGAAAGGTGCCCTAAAGTATGGTGGAATAGATACATTTTAAGATAACTTTTGAAGGGGGGTGAGGGAAGGAGGAAAAAAGGAGTAGGATCTTCTGGGAATCTAGAGATTCAAGAAACATATGTTCGGAAAATGCCTTTCAATCTTTCTATTTGATGTATAATTTAGTCTGAAATTCAAAATAAAAAGTTACTTTAATAATACACCTATTTATTTTGGATTTTAGATGTGAGGTACAGTCGTGTGAATAATCTATAATAATCAAAAGTACATAAATAGTAAACAAATTGTTACAAAAATATTATCATGTAGACAAATCATCAATGAATCAACATGTAAAATGAATTACGTGACCATTAATTGATGCACACAGAATATTCCAATTCAGTATCACAATTCAAGTCCAGCATTGTGGAAACTAATGCATTGCATTTGTTGAACACTCTGGGTAAGTGGCTACTATGTGGCAATCAATGAGACATTATCTTTAAGCCTCAATATGATCTGGATTTTCTCCAGGTGAAGTTGTAACTGGTAAATGAAACAGAGTAGAATATTCAATATGCGACTTTATAGAATGCACAATAATCTTACATTTTACTTGAAACAAAACTACTCTGTTACATGATCTGCAAATTTGAGACTATTCTTTGTATTCCAAATTACATACAGCTTTGACATTAAAGACTAGTTCAGTTTATTTGTAAAGGTCAGCTTTCAAATTTAGATAAGATTGAGTTACATCACACTTGGAAGTTTTGAATCTCTTGGCATTCAACATTAGCATTGACTTGATGAATACACCTATTTTGACTACTGTTAATGTTATGCACTTGATTAACTCTTAAGAGCGACTCAATGACTGAGTGGTTGGCATGAGTGCAATTATTCAGTCAATCATTAAATACTAGCTAGTTATTTATTTGTATGGAATTTCATCTTAGTTCTGAAAGTAGTAACATCTTAGTTCTGAAAGCAGTAACGAAAGGAACCTTACACAGAACATTCAAGATACTAAAGACAAATGTAAGCTAAACCCAAATAAAGGCATCAGGTTGTTGAGGCAGCAGGTTGAAGTAGGTAAGACTGAGCATAGTCAAACAGCAAGGGTCAGTTTCGATCTCAGCTGCACTGTTGTAAAGGTGACAGCAAGTGAAATAATAATAATAATAATAATAATCCTTGCATTTGATATAGCGCTTTTCACGTCGGGAGGATGTCCCAAAGCGTTTCACAGAACACACTGTAAAGTGAATTGAATGTATATTTGTGGGCGAATGCGGCAGCCAATTGCGCACAGCAATGTCCCACAAACAATTGTAGATTGAAAATGACCAATTTTATTTTTGGTTTTGGTTTTGGAGGGATTATTATTAGGCTCTGTGTGGAGTAAGGAAACTTGCCCAAGGTTTCGCCCTGCCTGGAATTGAACTCAGGTCTCTCACTTGCAAAGCACGTGCTCTAACCACTGAGCTACAGGACTCCACATGTCCACATAGAAATGTGGGAGATAAATCATCAGAGAATAATAACAATCCTTCCATTTGATATAACGCAGCATCACATCATTGAGACATCTCAAAGCACTTCACAGAATATATTATAAAGTGGATTGACTCGATTTTGTGGGCGAAACGCGGTAGCCAATCGCACACAGCAGTGTCCCACAGTCGTGGATTTGCAGGCAAACACAGCACCCATTATGCTAAATTATCACCCATTAAAGGGCATTGTATGATCATTCCCCATAACCTGAGTCTAGCTTTTCACTGGGTTGAAAAAAAATTAAGACACTTAAAAGTAGGGACTGTTTTCATTGCAGCAGAGTAGGTTAAGGAAGGATCTTACAAAAAAAAGTGGTCTTGATAGGGTAAATAGATAATATTTTTTTTAATGAGTGAGTCAATAGCTATAGGGCAAAGCTTGAGAATTATCACAAGAAGAAAAAAAGCAAAGTTAAAAGATTTTATATACAGAGGTTATGGAATGCCTGAACACAAAAGCTGTTGAAACCAGGTCCATAATAGTGTCTCACAAACAGTCATGGATTGAGTGACAAAATTATTCACTTATTTTAAAGGGAAAAATACCCCTGGAAAAGCGATCCGCCAATCGACTAACAGCTGGGTTCCTACTTACTGGTAGCTAAACAGAGGCATGTGGAGTAAGGGAATTTGCCTAACTTTTTGCCCTGGCTGGGAATCGGACCCGAAGTGAGTGTCCTCGCCAATGCGCTACAGGACCAGATATGGAGCCCAAATTGAAGAATTTAATCTGCTTAATAAAGTGGAAAGTATATATTCTTTCCAAGCTGTTTATCAGAGCATCTGGAACAAAGCAACACTTTCCAATTGAGGGATCAATAATAATCCTTGCATTTGATACAGAGCTTTTCACATCTTCGAGAAGTCTCAAAGCATTCACAGGATATACTGTAAAGTGGATTGACCGTGTATTTTGTGAGTGAAAAGTGGCAGCCAGGTTCGCATAGCAATACCCCATAAACGACGCTGGAGTGAATGACCAATTTTATTTGGAGAATTATTGGCCAGGACATTAGGAGAAATTCTCTTCTCAAATAGTGGGATCTTTAATGTCAACCTGAACAGGCAAACAGGACCTCAGCTTAACGTCTCATCCAAAGAACGGCACCTCCAACAATGCACACCCCCCAGCATTGCATTGGAGTGTCATTTTAGATTAAGTGATTCCAAGTTCTGACGTGGGGCTTGAACCCATAAGCTTCTGATTCAGAGGCGAGTGTGCTATGACTGTGCCAGGCTGATACACTGACGTAGACCTGGGAGCAGGTTGCCACCCTAGCCTCCAAATGTGTGAGCCAAGAAAACCTAGGAGAAAATAAAATACTACTCCTAAAAGAGAAAGGACAGGAAAATTCAAAAACTCCTTCAATTGTATGGTTTCTAGTAAAACAAAAACAATTTCTAATTAAACATAAAACACGAAAAGATGTTTTAGAAAGATGGTGCAAAATGGGGAACATCTCGAAGAAAAGAAAAAGAAAACCAGAAACTGAACATTTAAAACCTGTCATTTAAAAACCTTAATCAACTTAACATTTCTTAAAACACGTCTAAGATGAAGTAAATGAAACAGTATATTATGTATAAATTATATTAGATTTTTAATTGCTTTTAAAAAAGAATACAGTACAAGTTTGTCAACCACAGCCTGATTACCGAAGAAATAAAACAGATGATCAATAACATGGACAATCTTAAACATCCATAGACATCTGTTGTACAATTCACAATGGTTCACAAACATATACATTACAATACTTTATTTAGAAATCCTGTTTGTTTGGATTTGTGATCATATTAAATCACAATCCTAAAGAAAATGAATAAAAACAGTCCCACAAATTGCAGGATTTACAGATGTTGTTTAGACAATATACTTCTGAAACATTATTAAGCATTTTTCTGCTTCAACTTTTTGTACCAGTCAGGACATTCTCCTTTTGTCTGTAAAAAAGATAAAACTCATATTAGAATGGATTAAGAATCTCAATCTGAATCTGTCATTTGTTTCTCCATTTAGCGATCCCTTTGGGATCAATTAACTTATATCAAAGACACGTCCATTCCTGTTAAAGAGTCTCCAGGCAAATACATTTAGATTTGTTTCAGTAATACAGTAGAATGATGTACATCTATATGCTGGATAATCACATAGCTGCACCATGGATGAAACAATCTACAATGTTTGGAGAAAATCAGTTTTACACAAAATAACATGTACACATTATAACCAACAGTAATTATTTTTCCCAAGTGCATGTTTGAACCAGAAGAGAGAGAGAGAGAGAGAGAAATGGAGGGGGAAGTAAAGAGATCTAAAACGTCAAGTGAGAGGCTTGGAGGGGAAGAGAAAAGGAGGACGACACAGAGTGAAAGAGAGAGAGAAGGGCTGGTAAACAAAGAACGTGCAACTCCAATGGTTGGTACTGTATTTTATAATTTGACCTGATATCTGCATTATTTTCCTATCCATAGTGGGCCCAGTCCCGATTAGTGCAAATATCATACTCTCTATTGTAGCAACAGCAACAGTTTCAGGAAGGTGTAAACCATGAAGCTTACTCACTCAACCTCATAAAGGGTTACTTTGAGATATCTCTTATCATCCAATAACCCTGATTCCCTTCATTTGCAGAAAGCTGTCTGGTTGCTTTTTGAAACTAAACCTTAATATAGGCACTTGTCCTATTCTTTTTGATACATTTTGATACAATTTGTAAAATCGTCCAGTAATAGCATGTTGTATTAAATTTTCCAGTTTGTAGGTTATAAAGCCAGCAGTCTGCCATTGTTATTCTTGAGCCACCCATTTCAAGATCACAATAATATTGTTAAGAAATGCCTTTCATCCTATTTGATCTCACTCTTCCAGGATATGCACCTTACCCATTACAGTAAGGAGCTGATTCTTAATTGAATTGAGGGTCCTGGCCATTATGGCCTTTCCTCGTTGCCGGTTCCAACTGCTGATTTCTTCCATGTAAAAAAAAATCTTACGTCTTACTTAAAGCTGTTCTCAACAACCCTGAACTGTGCTCTCATCATAGCACCTTGATATATATCTGTGTAATGGAGTTTAATTTCCCCATACCATTTAGCATCTTATCTGGCTCCCTGAGATGTCTAGAGCTAGCTTGTCTAATTGTTCCTCAAGACAAAACTCTCTAACATGGATCAGCCTTGTTGCTCTCCTCTAAGACATAAGGCAGCCCTTATGTTGCAATGATCAGAATGGTAAACACTAAAACCAGAGCTCAGCATCACTTCTGGGGATCGGAACTCAATTGATTCGGTAATTTAGACCAGAATCCTTTTCCCCTGTTTTACTGCCAACTTACCTGTTTGGATATAGTGAGTAATGACTATATGCTCCTAGGTCTCGTTCTACTTTTTTGTTAGGTAAAGGTATTAAGATTTGAGGCAAATGCGGGTAATTGGAGTTGAGGTACAGATCAGTCATGATCTAATAGAATGGTGGAACAGGTTTGAGGGGCTGAATGGCCTACTCCTGTTCCTACTTACTCGTAGATAAAACATTAAGAGGAATGTCTATTTATAAGCCTTTCCTTCATATCAAATACCTTCTCTGCAATTATGTGAGTTTCAATAAAAGCTTTTTAAGTATGGGAAACACTGAACTGTACTTCTCTTAACTCAGATTATTATTCAGATTTGATGCAATCTTCCTTCCTCTATTCACTGTCAGTCATTTCCCAGCAACACAGCCAACTGACAAATGTCTCCACTTTTGTAGTGACAATGAAAATAGTGTTTATGCATTGAACTGAAGGAATCTATGTAATGCCAACTTTCTGTTTTCATCTGCAGAATTTAGGTTGATGTATCCATTTTCACTGACATCTTGTTAACTAAATATATATAATACAAACTCTCTGACAAGGGCTGCAGCAGTTGTCTCTCCCCAATACCATCCCCTTACGAGTATCATGCTAGTAACAAAATGTCACCCCTCCAGCCTGAATTCAATACCACCACTGTGACAAGATGAACATTTGATCCACTCTGACACTGCAAGAAACCCTTCATCTCCTTATGTGTCTCCAGGCACCAAGGGATGCCAGTGTTGTGACGAATCACATAGCATTGCCATTTTTTCACCATGCTTGGAGTTATTAGATTTCAAAGGTTAAAGGTCTGTACTGTTAAATACTCAGACTAGAACGTTGTGAGTTACTTTTGTTATAAATAGTGTGTTTGGTTGTTATTCTTCAGCTACATAAATGCAAGTTGTTGTAGTTTGTGTATTACTAGTTAGTGAATGCAGTACATTGATATAACGGGGTGAAAAATATGCTTTTTAATAGTAGATTTGATGTCAGAATTTCATTTGGTATTTGGTAAGAAATTGTTGAAGTTGAGGAATAATTGAATTTGGTAAGAAAAAAAATTGTCCTCAGTGATTTTTTTTGCAATTTTTTTAAGTGAACTTGTTAGCATATCACACAATTCCAGGTATAAACCGGAAGTCACAATCAGCCGTGACTTATGGATTAGAATTTCTGGTTTACAAATATCGTACTTTTGACCTTGCTGACATCAATTATTTTCACATTTAATAATTATATAACACTATACACTAAAATCCCCTAGCTGGACTAATAGGGGATACATCCGATTCGGAATTTCCGGTTGCATGTATTTTCAGTACCGAAGAATGTAATAAATGCCGGTATAACATTGTAATTGATTGAATGCCGTGAGCAGAAGATAGCAAATAAACTTGCGGGATTCAAACAGAGTCAAAGTTGATATCCTTGACCACTGCAGGTGATATTAATATCAATAATATTATATAATAATAATTAATATTATCAAATTTGATAATCGGTATTCAAACAATTACAGTGTGGCCTGTGCTACGAGAGTTGGATGGCGGGAATTTGTTTAAAAAAAATCCATTTTAGGCGCAATCTGGCTATGTCGAATTCCGAATATCTAGAGGCATTAGTGTAATAAAAATAATCCTTACATTTGATATAGACATTTACAGCACAGAGGGCCATTCGGCCCACAGTGCCTTTCACATCGGGATGACGTCTCAAAGTCTATCACAGGATATACTGTAAAGTGAATTTACTGTGTATTTTGTAGGAGTTTATTGTATTTTCAGTTGAACACACTGTTCAGTTACGTTTTACAGTTTGAAAAAAGGTGAAACTGTAAAATTATACTATCCTTTGTATGATCTGCATCAAAAAACACTGTAAACTAGATGATATGATGGGAATACTTTGTACACGAGATGCATTTCATGCATTCTAATTACAGGCTAGTGTATCCCATTAGGCTTATTTGAGTGAATGCGACATGTCTGGAACTGTCCGAACAATTTCTACTGGAGATGGTGCCTAAATGAAACCACCTGTAACATAAATTCCAATGTGTGGAAGTAGACACGACAATGCTGACGCAGCTATAACACTTTCAGATAGGACTCATCATCTTTTTGGCTTTCAGAAAGTCAATAAGGAATCTTAGGAGATTAATGAATTTGTGACATCACATTAATTTCCTCCTTTATAGTATGATGCAATATTTTTGTTTATTTTATTTAGTCATAGAAAGTTTATGGCACAGAAATACAACCCGTCGTATCTGTGCTCGCTCCCCAACAGAACTTACCACTCTAATTTAATTTCCATGCTCTTTTATATTACTGACAATGAAACTGAAGTTGAAACAGCTACATGTGGTAATGCTTCACAACAATCCTGTATTAAAAAAAGTTCTAATTCCTTCTTCTTCTAGTGGCGATCTTCAGTTTATGCTCCTCTTATTACCGAAGTGTTACTTATTATTGGATGGAATTGCAGAATTGTTTTTGCATGCAGGATAATAATAATCCTGTAGGGTTGATATCACACCTTATAAAGTCATTGAGCTGTCTTCACAGGATTTACTGTAAAGTGTAGTGCCTGTGTATTTGTAGGCGAACACAGCAAGCAATTTGCATGCAGCAATTATTATTTTTCAATGTTCCACACACAGACACAAAGTAAGTGACCAATTGTATCTGAAGGATTGTTTATCATCTCATCTGAAGGGCAGCACCTCTGACAATGCAGCATTCCCCCCAGCAATGCATTGGATGTATCAGGCTAGACTGTGAGTTCAAAAAGATTTGGAGTCCTGTAGCTTAGTGGTTAGAGCACTCGCCTCGTAAGTGAGAGAACATGGGTTTGGTTCCCAGCAGGGTGAAACATTGGGCAAGTTTCCTTGTCCCACACGCCTGTTTACCTAGCAGTAAGTAGGAACCCGGTTGTTAGTCAATTGGCGAAATTTAAAATAAATTTTAAAAAATAATTTGGTCACTCAATCCACGACTGTTTGTGGGTCACTGCTGTGCGCAATTGGCTGCCAGGTTTCGCCCACAAAATAGACAGTCAATTCACTTTACAATATATTCTGTGAAGCATTTTGAGACATCTTGAAGACATGATAAGGCACTATATCAAATGCAAGGATTATTATTATTTAAATAAGAAGCAGTGAAGGCTTGAAAAATGTGGGATTAAATGTTCACATAGATTGCGAGTGGCATATGGCTGTGGCTAATATCACAGCCACATGGCTGTGGCTAATATTACTCTTGATTGGGGAGCAAGTTTGGCAAGTCCCCTCTCCTGCTCCTCTCTTTTCTCTACACCCTCCCCTGAATTGGTGTTCTATTGAGAACTGTGCCATTTGTGCAATGAGATCAGACAAGTATGAATAACATTACCAAATGGAAGTCAAAAGTATTGGTAGTAGAACTATCAAATATCATAATAGTTTATTATTAATAATAATATGATAGTATACATTTAGATAACTGAAAATAAGTGGGGCTATTCAAAACAGCAGCTCTACTAATTACTCTAGTGTACATTTAAATTTCAAATCAGTACAATAGTTATCTTAATTCACATGGAAAAAGCAAAAGTACCTACAATGAAACTTAACTTGAATTGAAATAGCACTGTTGAAATCAAGAAAAAAGACAACTTACAAAGATTGTTGGTTTGGGTTTGTATATATTTTCATCCTGGTGAAGAGGAGCTGTTGCAAATACTTTTGTTAGGTGTGTAGCAGTACTGCGAGTTACTTCATCTTGAGAATGCGGAAAGCCTCCAGCACCACGTCTGTTGTGCAAATTTATCAGAGTTTGCTTCATTACCGCCAGTTCCTGCAAAATGAAAAAACAAATTGATTGTAATGTAAATAGGCTGAGATATCAGAAACTTTTTTGCTGTCTCTGCTAGTTTAGAGAAAATTAACTTCTATTGCAAAAATAATTTTGTGAAAGCAGATGCCTCCCAGTACTTTAGTCACGCACATCTCTTGAGGAGATGCTCAACTGATGCGCTACTTTTGTCATTTTTTAAAGCACGTGGTGATAGTGATACCAATCACTGTCCTGTAAAAATGTTTTCGCTATTACAGGAGAGGGATTTAGGAAACTGAAACTATGGGCACAGAATACTGTAATAATAAGAACATGCAGGTTCTTGGGAAGCATCACTAAACAGATAGAGCACAAGTTACAAGAAGCAATACTGAACATGTACAGATCACTGGTCTTGTTGTAGTGTGTTCAGATCTGGTCACCATATTATGGGAAAAAAATTCTTAGCATTGGAGGGTGTAAGATAATGGGCTATCTGGATTGATAGATGGAATTAGGCACCAGATTTATGAGAGGCTACAAAAGTTGGGTGTGTTTACACGAGAGAAGAGATGACTCAAGAGAAATCTCATTGAAAAATTCAAGATCTTAAAGAGGATAGATAAATAGAAATGTATAAATATGTTAAAAATCATTTTTTTTACAACTGGCACAGACTCAAGTTCAGAAGAGGGAAAGATTTTAATTACTTTAGAGGATGGTGAATATGCAGGGATAATAATAAATAATATTCCTTGCATTTGATATAGCACCTCATCACATCATTGAAACATCTCAAAGCGCTTCACAGGATATACTGTAAAGTGGAGTGTATTTTGTGAGAGAAACTTGGCAGCCAGTGGTGCACAGCAAACTCCCACAAACAGCCATGGAGTGAATGATCAATTTTATTACGGGGTTTGTTGGCCAGGACTCCATGAGAAACTCCCTTCTGTTTTTGAATAGTGCCATGGCATCTTTAATATCCATCTAAACAGGCAGATGGAACCTCGTTTTAATGTTTCATTCGAAGGACGGCATTCTTGATAATGCAACACCCACCCAGCACTACATTGGATTGTCAATTTAGACTATGTGATTCCAAGTCCCAATGTGGGACTTGAATCAACAACCTTCTAACTCAGAGATGAGAGTGCTACCACTGTACCAGGAAAGACAACTTGTGAAGCCATGGAGACACCTTTTGGAATAATATTAGGGGATCTTTAACATCCACCTGAGCAAGCAGACAGGATCTCCGTTTAACATCTCATCTAAAGTACAGCACTTTCGACAATGCTGTGAATCAGAAAGGTGGATGTTCTGGATGATTGAGATTCAATGAGCAGAAGGGCTTCTTCATCCGAACATCTCTTATTGTGAAGCAGCGATCTCCCAGTACTTTAGCCATAGACATCACTTCAAGGGATGCTTAACTGGTTCCCTGTTTTTTTTCTTTTTTTTAAGCACACGCTGATAGCAATCAGTGACCTAAGTCAAATGTCAATTCAAGTTGTTTCTTTCTGAGGGAGAAATGCCACCTGGCACTTATTCCATTTATGTGGTATTTTAGAACATCCAGAATTTAGAGAAGTCTTACAGACATAATTTTGGAGTTGTTTTTGTAAGGTCTTTTAAGAGCTAAAGAAAATCAACTATTTGCCAAATTTTGACCGCTCTAAAATGCTACATAAACAGAATAAGACCATAAGACCATAAGACTTAGGGGCAGGAGTAGGCCATTCAGCCCCTCGAGCCTGCCCCGCCATTTAATAAGATCATGGCTGATCTTCTAACCTAATTCCATTTACCCGCCCTATCCCCATATCCCTTAATCCCTTTATCCTTTAGAAATCTATCAACCTCAGCATTGAATATGTTCAAGGACTGAGCATCCACAGCCTTCTGGGGTAGAGAATTCCATAAGTTCACTACCCTCTGAGTGAAGAAATGTTTCCTCAACTCAGTTTAAAAAGACTGACCCTTAATCTTGAGACTATGACCCCTAGTTTTAGATTCTCCAACCAGGGGAAACAGTCTCACGACATCTACCCTGTCAGGACCCTTAAGAATCTTATAGGTTTCTATAAGATCACCTCCAATTCTTCTGTATTCTAGAGAATATAGGTCTAGTTTACTCAACCTATTCTCATAGGTCAACCCCCTCATCCCAGGAACCAACCCAGTGAATCTACGCTGCACTCCCTCTAAGGCGAGTATGTCCTTTCTTAAATAAGGAGACCAAAACTGCACTACTCTAGGTGCGGTCTCACCAAGGCCTTATGCAACCGCAGCAAGACTTCCTTACTCTTGTACTCTAACCCTTTTGCACCGAGCGCCAACATGACATTAGCCTTCCTAGTTGCTTGCTGTATCTGCATACTAACTTTATGGGACTGGTGTACAAGGACACCATAGTTGCTTGCTGTATCTGCATACTAACTTTATGGGACTGGTGTACAAGGACACCCAAATCCCTCTGAACACTAACACTACCTCGTCTCTCCCCTTCTAGAAAATAATCCGCTTTTCTATTTTTACTACCCAGGTGAATAACTTCACACCTCCCCACGTTATACTCCATCTGCCACCTTCTTGCCCAATCACCTAGCCTGTCTATTTCCCTTTGCATTCTTCGTGTGTCATCCTCACAGCTTACTCTCCCACCTATTTTCGTATCGTTCGTGAATTTAGATATATTAAGTTCTAATATAAATCTGGACCTGTGTGGACTTTTCCCCATCTGATTTTTTCTGCTGGAGTAACATCAAAGATAAATCTGAGGTCAATGCTTTGGGAGGCTGAATGAAGGCTGTGGTTGTGGAGATTAAAGACCAGAACAAGTCGTAAAGGTTTCTCTAATATGACCAGAGAGATAGAATCAATGGACACTGCTGGAAGCAATGGCTTTAGTCATGGGAAACTCCAACATGCTTTCCAGCTCAAAGAAGCTTTTTCAGATGTTTTCACTAACATAGAAAAGAACATGTTTAAAATTAAATTGTTCAATAATAAATCATTGTATTTGATATAGCACTTTATAATAGTTGAAACCCCTTCACAGGATTTACTGTAAAATAACTATATTTTTAAGGCCGTTTACAAACACAAAGTAGGAGTCAATAACTCAATGAAGGAATGCGACACTTTATATAAAGCTACTCGGCATTTTGTGATCAAGTATGTAGAGAAACATGTCAGTGTAGTGCAGCTGTCCTTTAACACAGCATAGTTGATGTCAACTTGTTGATGAAGATGAGACTAGTATAGCCTGCAAACTACTCCAAGGAGATAAAAGAGGCATTTTTAAGAATAATGTCAGATTACATTTGATATCTATGATTCAACCCATTTACTCTATCTAATAGAGTAACTTCAGGAATAATGTTACATATTTTAATGGTCCTACATCAAAGATTAATGCTCTACACAGGAAAGCTGACAAAACTAAATATAAAGATTTTAGTCGATTGCATGTTAAAAATAGCAAGAAATATCCAGTTGCCAGATACTCGTGTTCTGCATTGTGGGCTCCTTGCCAGGGTAAGTGCCAGCTGTACCTTATTAATCAGACATCTGGAGATACTCAACGCCAACATTTCTACAGATGTCTTTAAATGACACAAACAGGTTGTCACCCTCAATTTCATTTCACAGATTTCATTATGACTATTCAGCTAAACCTTATCTGAAGTAAACCATTTAGGAAACAAAAAAATCTACTGTGATTTCAATATGCTTTTCGAATAAATATAATAAACTGCCCTTTTTTGTAATGACAAGTGTAACCCTGACCTTTGACTGGATTCTATATTGACAGTAATGACTGTAAAGTGATTTAGAGATTTAAGGATTACATGGTACATATGATAGATCTCAAATTATCACACTTACTTCGAATGAAATGCAAGTGAAAGAAGCCAGATTTTAAAAACAAGGTCTTCTCATTTGAAAATAGAGACAATTCTCCAGTGCTTTTAATTCTAATTGTTTTTGCTCAATTTTTGCAATTGAATATTTAATACTAGATTAGCAAACTTCCAGAATCTGTTTCAGAAAGTAAGACACATTTGTGCGATCAGTTAATTTGGAGGTGCAATTCAATCACTAGAACTGATCAACATTTTCCTCATCTGCTGCCTGGCATTAGTGTTGATTCACCTTTATTTTTTTTTGATCAGCTGGGTGTCTGACACATATGGAAACCAATCATCGTGCGAAAGAGTATCCAAACAGTGTTTCATGCATCCCACCTACACATGGAATATTTATGCCGAGATATTTATTGGAACGGAATGCACACTCTATCCCTGGAAGAAAATATCCCGCTTAGATAATTCCGGAGAACATTAGACACAGGTTGGCTGCAAGCTTGATCTGCACTGGGACCTTGATAAAACAGACAGAGATAAGTACTACAGAATTGTTTTATCTTAATTATGAATTGCTCAGTTTTCTTTTCATGTTAATTGAATTCAAAAATGGCCAAACGTATTGATGGCAAGACCTAAATCTTTCTCTGGATGTCTTAACCATCTTTATATTTCCAACCCCAACTCTCATCTTTCTGCTTAAGAGGTCAGAGATATTAGTATTTTATTAGTAACACAGCACACGAGTTGAAAAGGAATATTCGCTTCCAGAAGACTTTCAACATTCTCTGAATAAAAATAACATCCACACATTGTATTATTGGATTAAGTCCACTGAGGTATGGGTGTAAGTGGATGTAATCCTATCCTAAGATGTGTAGAGGATGCTGAGAATGAAGATGAAATGTGAGAATCTGTCACCACCTACAGACTCTTTAGAGTTGCATCAAATCAGACTGTACATGTTAAAAGCCATCAATCTTTTACTTCACCTGCTTGGGGATGGATTCAAAACCAGCTCTCATAGATAGAAGGATATACTGTAATTCTACCACATTGTAGTATTATGTCTTTGATTGCATTCTGTTTTAATATATCAACTTTACAGTTCAGCATATAAGACAACAATTTTTTAGAACCTTGCCAATCCTGAATGCATGTTTTTGACATCTATATGAAAGATTATTATTAAGTATAACATATATGTGAAGCAATAATATATGAAGCATCTGGATCACTATGGATATTTTTATTCTTCATGATATTTCTTCAAATGTGTGAAATCTGTGCATTAATATTTTCATCGATAATTATGTGTTATTATTTTAAATATAGATTGTACCATCCTTGAGGTTTTCAAAATGGTGAGATATGGAATTTGTACATATTAAAAGTACTTTTTAAAAAATGACTACAGGACTTTTACTGCTGAGATTAGGAATTCACTGTCAAATTGGAACCAACATAGAATCTCTCTCGTCTTTGGTGCCACATGTAAACAAACATCTGGACTTCTGAGGATAAATAATGGTGCATTTCCCTCTGTATATTGTGTTTGCACAGTGCATAAATATGTGCTTTGTGTAAACATATGTACAGAACGAATTAGAGGTGCCCTTAGTTATGTTATTACCAACAAATTAAAAAGATTGGTTCTTCATTACATAATTCATTACATCTGTAAAATTCCCCTGTAGACATGCATTTACACACAGCACAACATACACTTAGATATCAGAACCGGGTTTCTCTTACATGTGTTTGTTGCCTGAAGAAATGCAGTAAGGGAAAATAAACTAAACAAAATCTGAAAAAATTACATAATGCACTGGGATTATTCAACAAGATTATCTTTCTCACATGCAATCAATGATATGCCTACACCTCGGTTGATCTGTACTATGTTAAAAGTCAAGGCTTGTAGTATCAAGTGCAAATCCACCACTTTTCACGGGGTCCATGGAAATGCCTACAGCTGCATGGTGTAAAGAGCAGCACTCATTTTTTTGTTTGGGGAGGTGGGAATGGATGGTAAAGAAAACAGACAGGATACTTTTAGTTTGATTTTGTTGAGCAATGCAAAATATGCTGCAAAATGTTTTTGTCAGATGCATAACAGGAGACCATTACATCTGGAGCAACGGCACCAGCTAATTATTAGATAATATTAAAAAAAGTTACCTCCCGCTGATCTAAGAGGCGTTCAAGATCTGTTGCCATTTGGTTCTTCATGCGAAGCAAAGCTGATTTCTCTTTTTTTAACTGACTGAAAGAAAAACATAAGATTTATGATTTGTATTGAATTTAAAAAAGTTTTTTTTACTCAGTTTCATTTTTGTGCATTTATTCATAGAATTGTAAAACCAAGCTTGGGGTGGAGGGAGAAAATATTTTATAACTTTCCTGGCTGTATATTTACAAACCTTGACAGTGTAAGTAAGGTCTGTCGTAGAAAAATAATTATCTCCACTAATTTGGACTGGCCTCTTTGTGGTTAAACGAACTGCAAATAATTGGACATTCTGCGAAATACAAAATCATTTCCGACAGGAGTTATACTATCATTATTTTATCAGAGGAAGAAAGGGATAAAAGGGAGGAAAGGACCAAATTGTGCCAGCTCTCTGTCTCAAGCTCCCCAATTCTTTCTCTCTTGCTCTCTCTCTCTTTATGATTTTCTCAATGTATATGTCTAATCTCTTTCTTTGACTCTTAACCCTAACAATGTACAAAGTATAAAAGCTTACTTCATAGCACTATCAAAATATTGCTATTGTTCCAAATCACCTTTCTATCAGAAGAAGAAAGGGATGAAAGGGAGGTAAGGTTCCAGAAGTGGAGAATTCTCTACAGAACACCATTCGGGAGAGTACACTGGCCTAATCCTCTTTACAATAGTTAAACTTTCTACCTCTTGTGAAAAAGACCTTCCTTGTTTGTTTGGAAACCATAACCTCTGGACTTGTCTCTTATGCTAGATTCTTTGGCCATTCTATTTCTTTTTTTGGCCTTGTTAACATGTCGGATGAATATTGTGAAATGTACCATTGCTGGAAATACTGGGAAGTTACACCACTTTTTGTTAACTGCTTATTACGCTTAGGATACCACTTAGTGTATTACACTATACCCTTAAATTATCAAATTATTGCTACTTATTGGACAATGACAACTTATGCCTGCTATCTCAATTTGTGTCTTAACCGTGAAAATGACTGACAGAAGCACTGTATCTCTGGAAAATGGTGCTGATATGCAAGTATCCAGCAACAAATAGAAATAAATCTGGTCTTCATTACACATTTGTATTAAATTCTAAATCAATTAATTGTTTTTGATATCCCAGTTAGGCAAGTAAGATTTAATTGTTTGGCAATAAATCAGAATTATTTTGTTTCTGGAACAATAAATAAATCGTTCAAAGTTCAAGATACTATCTTGAACAAGGTTCAAGATACTATCAATCTGCCCAAATTAATTTGAGGAGATTGATAGTATCATGAAGATAATTTGATCTGTTTATTTCTGTATTTGCTCAAACAAATATGTACATATAATGAAGGTACAGCTAAGAAAGTGCTTGTTTTATGGAGACATGATGCAGGATTCGCTAATAGGGATTAAATTGTGTTACACCATTTCACAAGAACATTGCTCAGACATGCCTATAAATAGATTGCAGAGGTCAGCCTGACACACGTCTTGTTATTGGCAGGAACTTCTGAGAGTTGTTATTAGCCAATCGAAGCAGCAAATCTCACGTTTGGATGCCAATATGCTTAGAATCTCAAGGAAGTGAATCTCAAGGAAGTGAAAAAAACATGATTGATAAAAAGTTGAACAAACAACTGAAAATGCCATATTGCTAACGTAGTGGGAAATTCCATTTATAGAGCATCTTTCACATCGGGATGACGATCCAAGGTGCTGGACAGTCAAGGGTTTGCACCCGAGTTGGGAGTTGGAGCCAAGGGGATGGGAAAATGACCAAAGGCACGGTAAAAGAGGAAGGTTGGGATTTTTAAAAGATTAAGATTAACAGCCAATAATAATAATAATAATAATCATGCAACATTAAAATGCAGTGCATTCAAAGTTCTCAGGACATCTTAGCAATAATAGCTCAAAAGGTTTTAACAAGTTTGGGCAAAACAATCTCAGTGCTATCTTGGCACACTACAAGTTTGTGAATTAGGATTTTTGTGAATTGGTTTAACAGTAATTCTTAAAACTGTCTGAATATTAGTGGCTATAATTTGAGGCCTATGAAAGGTCAAATTGATATTTATATTTACTAGAAATCCAGTTTCCTGAAGGCAGTAAGTAGCTCCTGGTTAGTAGTCCCGGTACACTTTTGAGTGAAAGGTCTAAACTGTTAAAATTAGGCAACAGTGGGCAACTTCTCAAGACTCAGGAAAGCTGCAGCAACAAGCAACTTGTTAAAAACTTGGTGTGAGTTTCAAGAGAAGGACTTTGTATTGTGAGCATACTCTTTGTACGTGGAACATGTGAAATATGAGTTGCAAACCCACAAACTTCTTTTGGTGTGCTAAGTGTCTGACACATACAGAAACCCATCACCATGCTTAAGAGTATCCAAACCAAACTGAAAGTTCCATGTATGCCGCTTACACATGGAAATTTTCATGTCTGGAATGGAATGCACAGTCTCTCCCTGCTTCCTCAAGACCCATCTCAAGATCCTCCTTTTCCTTGCTTTCGATCACCTGCCTTCCTCCCTGCCCTCCACCCTCCCCAATCCCGACCCCCAGTTCAGGTCCGAAACACTGATTGTCCAGCACTTTGGGAAGTCTTCCCAACGTGAAAGGCACTATACAAATGTAATTTTGTTGCTGTTGTTCCTAATTCCAGAGAGTATTATGTGCAAGTTCGCAAGAGCCAAGGCTTGCAGACCCCAGAGTATACAATGGGGTACTGCTGGAAACTCAAAATTTAAACCAAAAGCTTGGCATTGAAATCACAGTCTGGGAGACTCTCACTTAGTTGTCCAGCTAAGATGACTCTACCCGTTAGGGCTTTGGGTTGTAGTATTGATAGGAGCTGAGTGGGAAGAATTCCTGCCCCTCTAAGTCTTGCTGATGAGCAAGGCTGGCTGATCTGTCAGCAGCAGTGCCCTGGAGTATTGAACTGGCGTAGTCAAGAATTCCAAGCTTACAACATTAAGGACAATGTTAGTTCTCCGAGCAGTCTGTCTGTTGGCACTGCCGGAGGAACTCGGAATTTGTGTCACCAGCAGCTGTCCTATCTGGGCATAAATAAAAACTCACTATAAAGTGACCTTTGCATTTATCCACAATTATAAATAGGCTGGAGCTGTCCTTCTAAAGATGCTGCATAGTTTAAATGTGTAAATGTTGGCACCAGCTATGAGTATGCATGCAGGCCAGAATAGAGCTTTTTATTGATTTAAGATTATAAATGCATTTACTGCAGTTTGTACATGATTGTATAGGGTGACCAAGATGTTGTGATGACATTATAATGTCTAATAAGTCTTAAAGAAATTATGATCTTTCTTAGATAATAGGGTAGCTATCATGACTTTTTGGTCACTCTGTAGTCAGTTTGCTTATTAGATTTTGTTTACTTTTACATTTCTCATATGCACTAAAATTATCTAAAGAGTAACCTATAAATAGAACCCATTCAATACATTGCAACACAAATTATTTATATCCTTTAAATTCTTGTCATAACCAAGATATTTTGTACTTATGACTAATTACTGAAGAACCACCAGTTCCATCCAGTTTAAAAAGGAAGTCTGGATGGAATTGCGAACAGACAGCTGACTCTACTGGAGCAAATTGCAGCTTCTTACTCAGGGGATGCATACACATGTGTGCCTGCACGGCATACACCACAAACACTTTACAGCTGGAGAATTACAAAGTGCATCACAAGATCACAGGTATTAAATAATATTTTCATAACAAATCACACTTTGCAGGAAATATTTTACTTAGTTCAGCTGTCAAATATTACCAAATACTCCTTTGGAACGACTACTATACAGCAAACATACAAAAAAGGTTTAGCAATAAGCTGCAAATATTGTCAAGTAAAACTTTTCAGACACATTTTTGTTGAAAGAACTAATGAAGTATCTTTTTAAAGCTTTATGTTAAGCTAATTCTTTTGGTGTTTACCTGACATCATTCTCCAACTGTGAAATATATTCTTTGTGTTTCTGGATCTGGGAATCTCTCTGCCGGACACTCTCAATGAGATAGCTGTAAGGCTGCTGTGCTTGATTAAGCAAGGAGTTAGCGTTTGCAAGCTGAGAAAAGAAAATATATTTAAAACATTGGCTTAGCAGATTGATATTCATTCTATAAAATGCTATTATAGTATATTTTTGTATCAATGAATCAATGATTTTAAGTTAAGTACAGCTGAATAGCTAGAATTGTTTTTTCAGAGGGGGGTGGGGGGAAAGAAGAGACCCTAGTTTGGCAGAGTTGATCAAAGCAATGATGTGAAGCAATGATAAACACAACAAAGAAGGCAATTAAGCTTTCAAAGTCATGATTAAATGCAATTTACAAAATATGCCAAAGTCATTGAACCAAAATATTAATTTGCCACAATTAAACATGATTTATGGTTTAAGCACATCAATAACAACAAGAACTTACATTTATATAGTGCCCTTCATTCAGAGTAGCGTCTCAGAGCGGTATCCAATACTGTACCATCATGTATTTAGGATTGTAATTCCATGGTTTGATTATGAGCTAATAATAATAATCCTTGCATTTGATATAGTGCCTTATCACGTCTTCGAGACTTCGCAAAGCTCTTCACAGAATATACTGTAAAGTGAATTGACGGTATAGTTTGTGGACAAAACTCGGCAGCCAATTGCGCACATCAGTGTCCCACGAACAGTTGTGGATTGATTGACTTTTTTAAAATTAATTTTGAAGGAATTATTATCCCTGAAAAAGCGATTCCAATCGACTGACAACCGGGTTCCTACTTACTGCTAGATAAACAGAGGCGTGTGGAGTAACAAAACTTGCCCAACATTTCGACCTGCTGGAATCAAACCCAGGTCTCTCGCTAGCGATTATTATCTCATTATAGATAATGGTAATATCTGTAAAATATTTTCTTTAGCTAAATCCATTTCAAATCACACCAGTATGAATATTATTTGCATCTTATATAGGAGAAGCTCAGATATCTTATAGGACTTCAGTGGGAATTGCTGCCAAATATAATGCCTGTGTATTGTAGGCAAAGGCTGTAGCCAACTTGAGCCAACCAAAGCTAACAAAATAGCAAGAAGGGTAAAAGCATTTTAAAAGTCATTATATTCTTTCAAGGAGAATGTTTTGGTTTTCTTTAACTCAGTTGTTTAGCAAAGCTTGGAGTGAAATGGACATGCAAATCTAAAAGGAGTTCTGTAGCTTAGTGGTTAGATCACTTGCCTTGCAAGCGAGAGGACCTAGGTTCGATTCCCGGCATGGAATTGAAGCCCAACATTAGTCCACCTGACATCCACACATGCACATTTTCCAATAGAGATCACTGCACAGCAAATCAGGAGTGGAAACCCTGGCTTGATTTGCCCCCTTGCTTGCTTTCAAATACTGTGTACACCCTTTGGATTGAAGTTTTTACAGGGACAAAAGGCTCCTTTTGGCTTCCAGCCACTGGGTGCTGATCATTCCATTTTATCATTGCCAAAATACAGAATTTGGATTTATTTTCAAGTACTTTTTCAATGTTCTTTGGTTGAAATATTTTACAAGGACAAAAAACCCATTTGGGCCTTTAATCACCATCTATCAGCAATTTCATTTTACCTGGTTGTTAAATGTTATGTGCAGAATTTGGCTAGATGCACTGTTTTTATGGATGGTGATTTCAAAATGCACCAGGAGGCTAAGCAAGGAACCAAATAAAAGCATACTGCAATGAATGGGTATGTTATGTGATTTTTTTATACTTCCTAATGAGTTGTCTTTCATTGCAATTGCAATTTTAAAAGCATACCAATTATAAGATTTGGTTTATGATTAAACCAATTGAATTGCAACCCACGCAGCAACCTATTGTTTCATATTGGCCACCCACATGACATTTAACAAATCCAGACTTTGTCAGTCTTAAAACGCCTAAGCAGGCCATGACAGGTATTACAAATGCAGCAAATTCTCTCAAAACATATGGCATTGGCCTTAGTTAGTGAAAGATGTGCTGTCAGGTTAGCTAATCACTAAAAATACTAGGTTCATAAGAAACATGGTACATACTGTACTTTGGTTCCCATAAAACTTGGATACTTCATAACAAGGAGGTACTTCGAGCACCTCTCTTGCACTGTGAACAGAATTTCCTCATCTAGCTCTCTATTGCACCATTTCCTGTCTTTATTTTATCAATCGTATATGACCATTCCTCCGCCTATTTTTCCTTATTCCTCCCAATCTCCAATATGTTCCATTGCTTTTTTTTGCATTCTCACTCTGTTGTAATCGAAGCTCAAGCTTGCTGAGGCTACTTGCTTTTCCTATACCTCAAAATTCTTATGTTCTTAGAAAACAGCATTCCACCATATCTCTTTGTTTCCCATGACCTCAAGACTGCAATTCTTTACCTCCATTAGTCTTGCCTTCTTATCTACCGGCTTTTAAATCCCAAATCCACTTCACCACATCTTGACTTATATTGCTTTCTATATTGCTTCTTTCACCCTGGTGCTTTAAACATTATGAGGGCTTTGATCTTTACCTAGGTTCAAAATACATTTATACACTAAACAAATTGCTTAATATTACAGGAACTCTCTAAGATTTTTTTTAAAAGTAGAAGAAATACAAACAAACAATTTAATTAGAGGTTATGAGACACTGAATGTAAAAACTTTATGTGCCAACTTGCATAAATGTATTCACATATAAGATGACTCACAGATCACCTCATACATTTGAAAACCTCCAACATAAGATATTCATTTTACCCTGTCAGAGTAGGATAAAATAATATGTTTTGATATCTATAAATAATAACAACCATAATCAGGCACTCTATATCTACATAATAATGTGGCATTTGGTCTTTTCAATTTCTGACTCTGCCATCGACAACAGTAGCTCAAAATGTATATATTACTGAACTACAACCTATTTTGTTAGGACTTGGAAATTTTGAAACAAACCCCAAAATAACTGCTATCACTCAAAATTATCATATGATGTTCTCCTACTGAAAAACAATTGTTAAATAGTGTTCACAATGTCTGATGTCCTTAACATAAAAAATAAAAAAAGAAGCTAGTCATGACATAATTATTTCAGAATTGCCTAAGATTCTTCAGTAAGATTCTTATTTAGGAATAATTTACACATTATTCTAAAGCACAATATGAAGGATTATTTCAAAGTAGTCATTGTTATACTTGAACATGATTGTTTAATTGTTCATTGAAACAAGATTGCTTGTTCAACGAGGCAAAGTAGTAGATATGATTCAAGCATTGTATCATTTCATCTTTTCATTCAGGTGATGGATTTAATCACTGGAAAGCACTGCTGGAATATAGCTTTCACCATATCTTAACAAAAGCTTTTAATTAAAAGGTATGCTTTTTTTAAAAAAATCTGAAACTTGTTACTGTACATAATTTAATATTTTCCACACTCTCACCACTTTCACAGACATGGTAAGTATCCAAGAACCTTCTGCTCCAAAATCCAGCAAATCAGACCATATCAGTCATCTTCAATAAGAAATAAATCCGAATTTTTCTGTTTCTGTTTGACATGACATAAACCTGCTGAGTAAATCCACAAGCAAGTGCTGCTTTAACATGCTCAAACATTTTAGCATCTACAATACAAACAATTAATACACTGGCACCACGATGCATCTTTGGGTGTCAGCCTAGTTTACCTAGAAGCACTCTCACCTATGGGTCAGAAGATTGTGGTTTGAAGTCCCACGGGCAGGGACTTTGAGCTCATACTCGAGGCTCGACACCTTAGATCAGTGTTGAGAGAACCCTACGTTGTTGGAGGTTCCGTTCTTCGGATGAAACATTAAACCAAGGTCTCGTCTGTGTTTAGGTGGATGCTAAGTAACCCAAATTGCTATTAAAAAAAAGGAAGCTTCTCCCAGGGTCAAGGACCAACCCCAAATTATATTTTAAAAAAACTCCAGTGAAACTAATCATTCAACTCTTGGCTGTTTATGGGACTCTCCTGTGCACAAACTGTCTATTGCATCAAGTACTTTTTCAATATTCTTTGGTTGAAATATTTTACAAGGACAAATGTTCCCAGTACATTTCCCAGTAATTATTATGAAGCATTTTGAGGCATTTCAACGTGATAAGATGCTAATTAAATGCAAGCATTATAATTTCAAGGGAATAACCTTGTAACTTATTACTGTTAAAATTACCTATTTTCTTAAGCAAGTCTGTTAAAATTGGCAACTAAGACATTAGAATGCAGCAGCTTTGTTATAAACTGATTTGTATTGCTACATCAGACTGCTCAATGCTCAACGTGAGTTTGTCAGCTGCCTGATGACCGACTTGTTATTATAGGGGCAGGGGCTGAGGGAAAGGAGTGGGGTGGGTTAAGATAAGGTAATGAGAGGTTCTCTTTGGGATTGAAGAGGCTCCACTCCACGTACAAGGGAGAGCACAGCTGAGTCAATTCTCCCTAGCTCCTAATGCACTAGCTTCTGCTAACCTGTGCTTGGGTTCTCTATGGAGAGCTAAACAATGTATTTTGACTCTTATTTTCTTGGCGGGGAGGAGGAGAGAGAGGAGTGGAGGAAAGGAAAAAAACTGCATAGACCAGAACTGCCAAACAAAAAGTTTGTTTCTGTGAATTCTCAATAGTTTGAACTGAAAACTGAAGCACAGCAAGAGGTTTCTGTCTGCATCAAATATATGGCTGATAAAATAAGAAAATAGTTAAATTTAATAAGTACTTACCAAAGTGAAACAATTTTTGCAAGCGACTGGTGGTTTTATATAATATAATAGTCCTTGCATTTGGTGTAGCGCCTTATCATATCATTGAGACGTCTGAACGTGCTTCACAGGATTTACTGTAAAGTGGATTGACTGTGTATTTTGTGGGCAAAATGCGGCAGCTAGTTTGCGCACAGAATATCCCACAAGCAGCCATGGTTTGAGTGACCAATTTTATTTGGGGGGATTTGTTTTCAGGACACTGGGAGAAATTCCCTTCTCTTTTCGAACAGTGCCATGGAATTGTTCCATCCACCTGAACAGGCAGATGGGATCTCGGTTTC